GGAAAGACGTCTAAGTATTGACATTACGCTAAATTATTAATAAGTAGAACACTGCAAAACGTGTAAAAAGATTTAAAGTACCTATACAACAAAAATGTGATTATCTTCACTTTACCTTGGACAATACTTTAAAGCCAGCCCTAAAAATCTTAGTCAGATTGATTGACATTGACATACAGAACGACTGCCTTGAGTCATCTTTCCCCACAACATGGAGACTAGGTTGCCAATAAAAAGAAAAAAAGCACTTGGGATCTTACGCCAATCATGACTAATTTACCTTATAGAAGTCCCAAGCTTCTGGCTACACGTAGTGAGTGATCTTCCATAGATCTACATATTATTGTGACATTTGTGACAGCTGGAACCAACATCATCAGATGGTTCAAAACATTTATTTTGATCTGAGCAGCAAAGTACCTAACAGCTGAAGTAGGTACTTAGATTTTTCATATATCCAGAAGCTAACAACAACAACCTTTGAAGGTATGTATAGGTGTACCTACTAGTGATGTTCCGGAGATCCGTATCCGTTACTTTACTGGCGGATCGTTTACGGAACATTTATATTCAATTGACAGGATAAAATGTTGCATAATAAGTTAAATTATATGATTACTTATACACATAATTTAAGTTATTACGCAGAATTTATAATTAAAAAAACAATCACATCGAAATATTTTTTATTTCTTAAAATCAAATATTTGGCACCTTTAATTGCAAACATAAACAACAAAATTATTAAAAGTTTTCATACGAATAGTATATAACCCAAATATACTAAATCAATTATCTTATGAGTTCACTATTACACATAGAATGTTATACACGCTTTGCCATTGTGGAATAGTTGAATGGATGCAAAAATCTTATCTCTAAAACTTAAACTCCTCTATCCTATAAACACCACATTATAATAAAAACCCAGCATCTACGAAGCTTCCATGATTGAAATGTCAATCTCCCCGACTTCCTTGAGAGATTGGTACAAATAATAATTTCCGAAGTAAACCCTAAGTTCGTTCACCGGCGCGCCTGTCAGAAACCACTCGTCTGTCTGTCTGTTCGGAGGAAAGTTCTAAAATCTACGACAAAGCAAAACGAGTTTTCTGTTCATAACTGCAAAGGTCATTTTCGGATACTGATCGGTTGATAATATTTAATACGGTTTAAAAGGACTAGTTCTGACAGTATGGATGTGTATTCAATTGATTCTGATGCATATTCAACAAAGATTAAAGTTCAAAAAAGAGAGTCTCTTATTAAACATAATCTAATAGAAAATTGATAATAACTAAATCTGAACTGTATAGTAGACTACAAATGCAATACTTTATCAAAATGCACCCCAATGTCGACGCGACGGCACCCATCGAAGCGTCTGTTGCGTGGAAGGTAAAATAGGTACGATAATATGTAGGTACGGTGTACTTGCATAGACCAGGTAAATTGTAAATTACCATGGAAATGACGTCTATCGAGTTAATGCTACCTACCACTGAGTTCTACCTATGTAGGAACGTGGGTTAATTGAATTCTATTTGTATTTTTGAACTAGAAAGGGATCTCCCTATATCCTATACCTATTGGATTTGAACCACTTAAAAGTCTTAGTAATCAATGACACGGCAATAGGTTTCTCTTATTTTCATCAAAATATTTGACTAATAACATTAAATACATCATTAAACATAACATCGCGTATAATATTTCTCATTGCAAAATGTTAATATTTCAATGGAGCACATCACAGAACATGAGAACATATAATTTTATAGAAATTTTCGCTCAATAATATCACAAATTTCATAAAGGTGACACCATGCACAATTTTAAATTATTTAACGACATTTTTCAGAGACCGATATCTAACTCATACCTTGCCAGACACGGGTACAGAGCATGAAACACTATAATAGCCAAGGCAGTCCAAAAAATAAATGTTACCTTATTTCTATTACAACACCTTACTAATCTAAATCTAAGCTAATAAATACGAATTAGGTACTTCACTGTTCCTAAGCCAGCTAGACCTTTACAAAAATGATCCTAGACAAAAAGCCTTGTAGCTCAATTACGAATACCCCTCCGCGCCAGTTTGGAGTGCATTCACCGGCAACCGGCAACTGGATCGCGTGCGGCGCCGATCCTGATAAACCATCGCCGCGGTAGGCGCCCCATAAACCTTCCGTTAGTTTTAAAGACAGTGCAATACATTATGCGGAAAATATTATTATTATTGTTATTTTGTTACGAAATTATTGTTATACAAAATTGATTCTTAAGTCAAGATGTGGAGAAATAAACAACCGTACTACTTACCACTTTAAATACAATTCCGTTAAGATAACTGTATCCACTTACAAAAATACCGAAGTAACTGTTCAAGTTCATGGTCGAAAATCCGATCTAGAAGTATAATTTCATGGCAATAGTATTTATTTTAGAGAAAATATTAAACAATTCTAAACTAAATTCAGTGATTGAATTTCAAATTTTAGTTAGGAGAAAATTAATTTTGATTTTTGACTGGTCATATTGTTCTTGAGTAGGTACTACTTGGTAATATTTATTACACATTACAAGAACATTAAGTAATTAAGTCAGAAGACAACATTTCAAACGAAAAAAGTACAGCATCATTGAGAACCTCATCCTTTTTAAAGTTGGTCAAAGAAATTCCTAAACTGAGTCCACATTAGAAGCTATGGTCACCCTATGCTAATCCATGATACATATACACACACTATATGCATGTACTATCTGTATATGGCATACTTCTTGCAATAACCCTCACCCTAACTGGTACGTAATTAAATTCATGCATTGTGTAATTTCCATATTGAGGCAGGTCCTGGTTTCGTATTTATATACAGCACATACAATACTGTTCCTAACTAGTTATTACATGAGATATAAATGTGTGTATGAATAGGAATTTGTTGACTGACGCTATTTGTCGTGGTGGCCCGGAGGTTTAAGACGCTGGATGCTTGAGAATGTGTAACCTACCAACGGCAAGTAAAGTCATATTGGTGACTTTTTCCGAGTTATATATACTTTCTAAGATTATTCAGACACCACTGACAAACGGTAAAGGAAAACATCGTGAGGAAACCTGGGCTTATAATTTTCAATTATAAGTTTGTAATTGCCAACCCGCATTGAGCAAGCATGGTGATTAATGCTCAAGCCTTCTCCATGTGAGAAGAAGCTTTGCTCAGCAGTGGTCATTTATAGGCTATTGATGACATGACGACATGACCGCTATATGAAACATTCAGTCTTGCTCAAATCTTTGTTCCGACAGACCAAGTTTTATTGAAAAGAAATGGGAAGGAATGTATTGTCTTGAATCATCAGTCACCACTGTAATATTACAGAAAATGTTTTGGCTACAGGCCTGCACAATAATAAAGTGGCTTTATGCCCTTATAGGGCTCAGGCTTGAAGAGCTGAAGCAGGAATGGGGTGCGTTTTCATATCCCTGTAGAATTTGGTAGTAGGATAAATGATACGGCTGTTATAAAATCAATAATAAAACATATATAATAATCAGACCAATGGTTTATAAGTGATACAAAGGAGAGAGGATTCCACTGTACAATCCCTGATTTGTATTTGATTTGTTGAGGTGGGAGGGAGTCCTCCCACCTCAACAAAGGTGGGAAAAGTAATTGGATAATTTTCCCCTATCTGATGATGATGATCAGACGTCACAGGTTACTGAGATCACTTTATGAACATTTTTTTGATTTAACTCGTCGAGTACCATCATTATAGACACAATTATAGAACAATAGGTTGCGGTCACCGGTGACCGCTTAGTGTTTGACAGTTTAAGGTGTAAATATTTTAGTTTTTTGTACTTATTTTGAGTTTTATATATTTATTCATATTTATTTATTTATTTAAAGCTTCATGCACAAAATGTACATAAGGTGGACTTAATGCCGCAAGCAGTATTTACGTTTTTTTTTTTGTTGAAATAAATATTTTTTTTAGAACCTAATAATCTCAATAAATAATGAAGTTTTTTTGAACTATATACACATTTAAATACTGTATTTCTCAGTAAATTCATAAATTGATATTCTAGCATCTAAGATGAACAGTAGCTATGTCAAGTTAATTATTATATCATGACTCATTCAAACACATGTTCACTGTAGAACTAGATGGTGTTACTATAACAACAGTAAATAACTAATATGAGTCACTACACTACTACGGAACAGGAATGGGATATTAATGGTTATCCATAGATACATTTGCAGGAAAATATTCTAAATAGGTTTATTATTTCATTCATAATAATATGTTAATGCTTAATATATAAACTGCATTATTCATTGTTATGTTAATGGAATTAATTAGCTCTTAAAAGGTAAGTACATTCTGACCTCAATGGGTTTTACCTAGCTATTAAAGGTATGATGGGCATTCCTAACGAGTTACTGATTTTTAATCTACATTCTTTTTTTTAAATTAACATTTGAATAGTGCATTATGTAACGATTGTAGTACGACGCAAGATGAAGTTATAAAATTAGGATTCAGGAGGAGGGTAATTATAAAAAAAAATATTTAAATTTACCATTTCATTTTCATGTTTTATCATGAATAAAATTTAAAACAATCAACATAATTCATGCAAACATGAATAGCATACAATTGTGCTACGTTAGATGCTGCAAATAAGTGGAAAACCTAGATATGCATCGAGCATAACTGCTGGTCGATTTCAAAACACTGAAATGTCGACCTTCGAGATATTTTTCGCAATAATAACTAAAAAGTAACAAAACACGTACCTTTCTTGAGATCGTGGAATGAACGAGACGTTAAACTGTATACGAAATAGCTTTCTCGAACTTCAAGACATGTACTAAGTAGGTAACGTCTACAGCCTGAAAAATCAATAACACTCGCCCGAGCTTACTCGCCCGTTTTTCTCTAACGAAGTTACAGTAAATAAAGGCATAAAAATAACTTACCTCTCGACAGATCTGAAGAGAAGATCCTCGGGAATCCCGCACAGTAGATATTAACTGCTAATGATTCAGAATACAATTTTTATTTATTTATTTTACACCACAAGTTACAACAAAGCCAAATGACAATCATCTGATTTGACAGATATCTGACGTTTGCGACCCGTTACACGACTGTCGACGGCAGCGGCACTTGGAGAGGAACGTTTTTTGTTAAGTCAACGTTCCGACTTCGTACTTTCCTATTTATTTTATCATCAAACCGACTTCAAAAACAGAAGGAGATTCTCAGTTCGACCTGTATGTATGTTTATGCGTGATTGATTCACGATTGGCCGAATCGATTTTGATACGGTTTCAGAAACTTTCTTACACTTAGGTTTTAGTCAAAGTATATTAATTAACCAACTTCAAAGAAGCCCCTCCCCTTTTCGCGTTTTTTTTAATACATGGGTTTGTTTATGTCCACGACCTTTATCGCTATTCGCCATCATCCATATGAGGCAATTTTAATCAGTAAAAGTAACCTAATTACTTATTTGATTACAAATTCAAATAAGACTATCAATTTAATCTGATTTGAATATCCTAAAAGACACACTTAGGAAAGTAGGTATATTCAAATGGATTCTATAATTCATGTGAAACCAGAGTTCCGTGAGACCTCTCATAAAACATGAGTAATTATGATTTGGTTAATTTTTCATTTAATTTCATATTTAATTAATCCTGTGAGGCAGCATTCATACACACACACTTCAAAATAGGTCAGGTATTTAACGACCCTTTGGCCCTTGACTTGCCCAGATCATGTATTTTGATTGCAAACCCCAAGTACATTGACCTATGATCCCATCAGCATAATAATAACAGTGTGCTTGGAACCGTTAATCTTTAAGTTATCGAATGATACTTTGCTTTCTAAAGGATAGGTAAAAGAAAAAAGATATGAAATAAAACACATTGTTCTTGAAAAAAAAATCTAAAACTTATTTTATCATCACATGACTCTATCTATTGCGGGTGTTCACCATGTGAATAACGTAATTTAAAGCTTTACATCTAGACGATGGCTGTAGGCATAACCGAATATAATTGAGATGTTGGTTTGCTATTTGATTTTACTTTTTTACTTCAAGGCATTTTCGTATCTCTTCGAGACATCTCCCCAGTTGGCAACGTCGAATATTGCCTTTACGTAGTCGGCCCTCACGTTTTTGTATTGCAGGTAGTAGGCATGCTCCCATACGTCGATACCGAAGAGAGGTACGAGACCTGCAAAATAATACATTGTTTATTTAACAATCATCAATTTATCACGTAGGTATTTTAACAGTACAAGTAACCATTTTCATGTCTTGTTAAATACAAAAATATGGCTTAATCGTGTGGCAGAGCCATGCTTCGGCACGAATGGGCCGGCTCGACCGGAGTGATACCACGGCTTCACAGAAAACCGACGTGAAGCAACGCTTGCGTTGTGTTTCGTCGTGTGAGTGAGGTTACCGGAGGACCAATTACCCCCTCCCTAGTGCCCGTCTCCCGAATCCTCGAATCATCCACATCTTCAAATTCCCAATTCCCAGGAGGCCGGTAACGGACTTGTAACGCCTTGGTGTTTCGAGTGTCCATGGGCGGCGCCGATTGCTTACCATCAGGTGATCCGTCTGTACGTTTATCGGCTTATGCTATAAAAAAAAATCACATACGATTTCGGAAATACTCGACTACTTTCAAGCCTATATCAAAAACCGCGTACTGGGCGACCCTGATGTAACCCCAAAGTATATGAGACGTGAATAAGCTGCAAATTGCTCCCAATTTTAAAATCAAAGACCTCACAATTTATTGATAACCTTGAGATTGAACTCAAGACTCTTTTTTTTTTTTTTTAAGGGGGGAAAATCATCGAATGACTGCTCCCGCCTGGGTGAGGCGAAAGGGAGTGTCAGACTCTTACTGACTAAAAACCACCCCGTTCCTTCTCCTGCACGTCGAGCCGGAGCCCCGGTTACCCGTTAGGTTCTCCGCGACTCCGAATCGGCATCGGCCCTATTGGGCCCCATCTGTGGTGGTTTGATGGCTCTTTGAGGCGCGCGCGGAACGCGACGCGCCGTACGCTCGGGTCTGTTTCTGGTCGGACGGGGAGCCACCCATGCTCGCCGTCCGCAGGCCCGCGCTTACGGTGGCCGGAGATCGTCCCGCGATCCCCGACGCCCGGTGTGTCCTTCGCGATGGCTGGGTTGCGAGGAGGCAGCGCTTCGCTGCCTCACGCGTCCCGCCTCCTCCTTAGCTAGCATGACTGCTTCGCAAAAGGAGAACTCAAGACTCTAAGCTTGGTAGGTATCAAAGATACATTAATTAATTATGAATTTTCTGTATTACAACAGATATTTTTTAATAATAATACCTGTGGTTGCTTGCAAAGGATCCTGATTTTGACAAGTGGCAATCTGTAGCTTCTTCATTTGCTGGTTGTAACCGAGCCAGCCCCAGCCAGATCCCTGGACAGCTACAGACGCTGCAGCCAGCTGGTTCTTCATGTTATCCCAGGAGCCAAAGTCTCTAAAATGGGATTAAATATTGCATAATTAGTAATGTCCTTATACACATAATGGCATTTCAGAAACATATACATTTAATACTGTAGTTGAAACAAGAGATTTTTCTTTAGAAATCAAATTTCGAAATTCTGCTGCAATATGATGGAAAGTATTTCAAAATGACTCCTTATATTCTGTTATTCCACTATGCCCATATTAAAAAAAGTTTAGACAAAAACATTTCATTAATCACATTAAACACTATGGGGTATCACTGGTGACCGTTGTTAGCGGAGGAATTGCCTTCAACGGTTTTCATTTCTATTGGCAGTCAAAGCTATAAACTAATTAACTAAATTATATCAGGTGTATGTTATCGAGTCTTAAAATTATCACAAATGTTAAACTTTGCACACCAACACAGGTTATCTCTGCAATTGACGTAAAGCGGTTATTTCCACAAACAAAAAAAAAACAATCACAACAATGCGAATATATTGTCAACAAAGTCAAGAGCGACTGATAAGCTAAAGTAATTACTATTACACATTTAAGTAGGTTCCTTTTTAAATAAACATATACACACTACTCTACACTAAAGTGTTATAAAAATAACGACTGTTCTGATGGTGGAAGTAGTATCAACCATTAATGAAAGCATGCCAACTGTCATTTAGTGAAGCCAATTAACTCGTCGACACAATTATAGAACAATAGGTTGCGGTCACCGGTGACCGCTTGGTGTTTGACAGTTTAATATAACATAGAATTTGTGTCCCTATTTCTCATTATTAGTCTTAACAAAAAAGCAAGCTTTGTTTCTGTTGCCATTTTTCTTTTTTTTTACAAAATATTAACATTGTTTTACTGTTTAATTAATTCAGTATGGTTCTGTTAAATTCCACCTGATTTTGATATATTCCAAAATAAATACAAGGTGATAGTGGCAACTGGCTAATAGTGGATAATAGCGGTACTAAAGTACAACACTGCACAATATTCTTATCAAAGATAAGACTGATAAAAAATGCAATATAGAATAACAACAAAAAAAATGTAAATACCAAAACAAGCGAAAAACTTAGAGCATGCAAGAAACATAATTTAGTACTTCTCAATAGCCTGAGTGAGCGCCGAAGATGGCTTTCCGCCATTGGGGGAGAGGTTCTGCCAGAAAATGGTGTGGTTGATGTGACCACCACCATTGAACTTAAGCCCGGGTGCAAGACTGATGACTGTGCCGATGTCACCTGAAGAACACAGTCATAACAATTTAGAACTATAAAACAACACACAAAAAAGTTTTTTTGTCATTCCAAATGTTGGGTGAAACTCATAGAAAATCATTTGAGATTTATTACACAGTACCTACATAAATATTATGTACATTAAAATATCAGTAATTACGGACAAATAAAACTTACTACATAATAAATAATAAACAATTAAATTCTACACAAATAAATCTGCATTTTACAAAACTGTCTACCAACTAAAACTTCAAAAAAAAATTAAGTTTACTTATTTGCAGCTTCTTTCAACTCGCAACTAGGTTCAGATTTGCATGGGGACAGGTTTGGCCATAAGATAGAATGGTTCACATGACCACCTCCATTGAACTTGATAACATTTAGAAGTTTTATTATTGTGTTCGTATCTGCTGCTGCCAAATTAAAAATGTATATACTTTAACTTCATATCTTTAAAATCTTGAAACTTATTAGAAACAATATGCTTTTACTCAATTCGAAATGTCACTTGACCTTTTATTTGTATATTATGATTAGCTCATTTCGAAACTCTGAACTGTTCATGCACAAGTAGGTGACAAGTCTAGGAGAATACTACTTACCTTTAGCCTGTGCTTGAGCAAGTTTCTCTTCAGCGGCATTGAGATTGTTAACGTATGTGGCATGATGCTTGCTGTGGTGCAGGCTCATGATCTCCCTGCTGATCACAGGCTCCAGAGCACTGTATTCATAGGGCAGTTCTGGGAGAGTGTGCTTCTGGCGAGCAGCGCCTACCGACGCCCTGTAAATGGCATAAATTGGACAAATCAATATACGCAACGACGTCTTGTGCCTTGCGGTAGTGGCCCGGGGCAATGTCCGCTTTACATAATTGGAACGTGTGAATTATACATACAATACGACATTATACGAAGTTTATAACTAAAAATAACTGAAATAAATAATGATTGAAAGCACTAATTATCATAATCATTGACTATCACGTGAATATGTTGACTTCATTAAAATTGTGCATAATAATATTATTAATTTATGCCACTTACTGTACAATGCGACGTGAGAACATTTTTAAAAAATTAATGTAAATGCAAAGTTATTTATAAGGGGTACAATAAATATACCGGTAACCGATTACCGGCTGATTGGAAATTATCACAAATAAGAATTATGCAACGAAAAGGAATTACAACTTTTCCTGTCAAAACGATACTATTGACAGCTGTGTTTAAACGTCAAATCTGAAACTTTTGACAGAAGTTATAAACTGATATTCTCGTCGGTCTGTTCTTTATCTACGTTCAAAAATATTAAAAAAATATATTTATGTTTGCTTGTTCAAATTCC